CCATAAGACAATTTTCTTTCAGAAAATATAGTACCTCTTACCAACACGAAATACAAGCTTTAAAATAATTCCGTTTAACAATGTCGCAAAAATTATGAAAATACCGAATATAGGAAGTTATCATTTCATGGAGGCTCTACGAAGCCATGACAATTATCTGTAATAAGTGTAAATATCCATTGAGAACTCTAAATTCTTAATTTGAAATAATTCCGTTGAAAAATGCTGATTAAATCGTGAAAATACCGAATATCAGGAGGTTCAGTTGTATGGGGGGCTATACGAAGGCTTGAACCTCTATAAGCAATATTCTGTCATAGGAAGTAGAACCCATCACGATCACCAAAAACCAGATATGAAACAATTTCGGAGAAAAGTGGTACAGTTATATGGGGACTACACCAAAAATTGGACCTATGCAAGGATGTTTCCTACATACTGGATTTACAAACTGTCAATTTACAGCAAATTCGGTTTAAAATTGTGACTAAAACGCCCGGTACATTTATATAGTGGCTATACCAAAACTTAAACCTATATGGCCAATTTAAAAAAATCTTGCAGACCTAAAATACACCTGAGTTAAATGTTATCAACCTTTTTCATTTCGTTCGGAAAATCGATTGATTTCACCCAGACGTACAGACAGGCAGACGGACAGCTCTAAATCGACTAAGAATTTTATGCTGATTGAGAACATATATACTTGAAGGATCTAACATAAACTGAATATACCCTTCACAGGTTGATCAGTCAACTGTATCTATCAAGAGGAGACCACATTTTTTCCACTGTTTACCATATGCCCCAAATATCGGTACTTTCACATTGGAAGTACTATCAGTTTATATATTGCGACATAAGTCCCATAATATCGACGATAAATTTAAGATGTTTTGAAAGTCCTGGCCATATTGTCAAGTCGAAGTTCATTTGCAATTTGACAGTTCGAAATCTTAATGGGTGCAATACTCATAATTTAGATCCAGGTTTAAAAAAAGTCACCTACATAACGATATCCGTCAATTTTAATTTTTTCAAAAATGTCGGGAAAATCCAGCTAATTATGCAAGTAGAGTCAAAAATAGCACACACGTGTATCGGTTTTTTGAAAGTTTACATCGTAAAGTAACCGAAATAAAGAAGGAAGTTTCCCCTCTTTCACATGTTTGATTTTTTTGGATTCATATTACTTAGAAACCGTTGATTTTAGGTATATAGTGATTTTAATAGGTTGTACTTATTGCCAAGGAGTGATCTAGTGAAGAAAATATGGTAAAGACCCTCACAATAACTGAAATCAGCGGTTATCTTTATGTAAGGGCTTTAACAAATTTATTTATCATATTTATAATTTATTTATCATATTTTTTTGTTAATAGCATTTCTACATAATGAGAACCTATAACGCCGAATTTTATCGAATTTAAATGTAAACAAGTAAGCAAAGACTATAGTCCCCTTAGGGTCAAATACATTTTGGTTGTTTTCTTTTTGAAATGCAAAACAGTCCTGCAAAAATGATGCGTTTGGATTTTGAACGGTGGCATCTGTGTTCTAGTCGGTGTCCAAAACAATTTCACACAAAAGTTGTGGTCCATATTACCCGCTTAATGTAACGTAATGGTCATCCAAAATGCTAAACTTCTGTCCTGTCCTAAATTCTAGCCTCACGCAAAATTCCGTGTCGATTTTGATTTTAATTGTGACCTGTATAGCGACTGTAAAATAAGGAAAATTTTAAATTCAATTCTGACTCTAACTCCATGCAAAATTTCATGAAGATCGAACGATATTTGCGATCTGTACATAATATCCTCAACAACTAGTGTTGTAGTGTGCAAAAACAATTTCACAGATCAAAATTGAATTTCAAATTAAAAAAAAAAATGCATGCAAAAAAAAAAAAAAAAAAAAAAATGCCGAAAAATATCGCAAAATATAAAAACAAAATATTTACTTTTTTGCCAAGAGCGTATTCCGAATTGATGACAATTGTCAAAATCAGTCCAACGTTTCTCAATTTATAAACGTAGTAACTAGCATCAGTTTGTCTTACAAACATACTGCACGTATTTTGCAATATATCCGATATCTTGGCTATCAGCATCCCTATAATGGCCAGAAATAACCTTTTAATGTATTTGTGAAAATATTTGTGGTTTGGCGGAAATGTCTATTTTACCCACTAAATATTGTCCGATAACCGAACAAAGGCCCTGTCCTAAAATCTAGCCCCATGCTAAATTCGAAGTTGATTGGTTTATAATTGCGACCCGCAGAGCAACTGCGAAATAAGGAAATTGTTATTTTATATTTCAAGCCCCAAATATTTTGCGATCTCCATAAGCAATAGGCTTCTATTCTAATAACCCATAACATAACCCCACCTCCTTGCACAATTTCGTTAGGATCAGGTCATGATTGCGTTCTATGTACAGGACCAATATTTCTAGGTGTTACATAATTTTTGGCCCAATCAAACTTATAGGGTATAAATATTGTTACAAAAACGGGCTGATAGAATTTTTTGGTGATTAAAACCAAATTTTTCCTTATAGGGTCTCAGATGAAAATTTCGCGATGTACTACTGAAATTATATATTTAAAATTGTCTGAGGTATAAAAGGGTAATATGAATACACAGCATACCGAAACTTTAGAAAAGCACAACTGGATGCTATATCAAAACATGAACCTACATAGACAATTGGTTGTCATCTATTGCGAGTTTCAAATACCAAATTTGAAAAAAAAACCAACGAAAATGTGTTACAAATCAAAAAAGTCCAAAAGTCCACCACCACAAGCTAAAAGCATCACAAACTAGTATGGTGTGACTAGCGTGTGACACAGGCCTGCAAACAACACTTCATATTGTTTGCCAAACCCAGTCAATGCACTGTCCTCTGTGGCTACAGCCTTTTTCAAAATAGTTTAGTTTTAAACTTTCTCTAAAAATGAAAAATTTAATATTACATGAATTTTGGACTGTAATTCTGATAGCTTTTATAGCTTATATAATTTTTCAGTTATAAAATTTAGAAACTATATAAAACCATATATGCTCTAATTTTTTGTCTGTTAGAATCTACAAATACCAAATTTCAGACAATTTCGTTGGAAAAATATAGCTAGACTTCAAAACACCTAATTATCGAAATTGTTTAAAGTGCAGATCAAAGACAAGTGCAAACAAAATTACAGCTCTCTTGTTCAGTTAGTTTGGAAGTGAATATGATTACAGCGTGTCAAAAATTTACTCTGTCTAAAAACTTATATTTTATGGTCTCTAATATGATTTTTTCGAGAAGATGCAAACGAAATGCCGAGATTGATATTTTGGCGAAGGCTACAGCCTCAAATTCCGTCAAATCAAGTCTTGTGAAAGAATGAAAGAAGTACGTCAGACAATTATCGGCCGGTCACAGACGAGCCTTTAGTATTCTCCACCATTTGGAAGAAACTTACAAAGTTTCAAATAATTACGTTGAAAAATTCTACTAAATTGATTATTCTAATCAAAGTGAAAAGTGGGGGTTGTAATTTTATGGGGCCATTCGAAAACGCGGACCTGTATATCTAATTATCTGCCAGAGAAAGCGATCCATTTGTGAACTCAAAATTCCAATTTTAAGATAATTTCGTAGAAAAAAGTGGCTAAAATCGGTAAAATAACGAAAATAGCAATACACTATTATATGTAGCCATACAAAGATGCGGACCCTTTACGAACTCCAAATACCAAATTTGAAACAATACCGGTGAAATGTGTTATATGGGGATAAGCAGACGAATGTGGGATAGAAAGTTCTTAATAAAGATACTTTAAAATCATCGGCTAAGGAAGCAAGAAGACTTAAACATTTGATGCAGAGTTTACATTAGTTATGTTCCTGATGGTAGGGATATTTTTGCAAAACTTCCCACCCCTCATATTGGTATGGCCATCCAAAAACCTGATTAAATTTTCAAGGTTCGAACCAGCCGAACATAACATTTCTATTTAATGGTGTGTTAAATGATTTTTTCGAGTAGGTGCAAACGAAATGCCGAATTTAACATACTCTCCAAAGTATTATAGAATGTAAGCGGTACGTCAGGCTATAGTCAGCCGACCCCGGGTGAAACTTTAATATCCCCCACCATTTGAAATCAACTTGCGAAATTTCAAATAAGTCCGTTGAAAAATGCTACTAAAATAATAAGAATAGAGGGTGGTGAAATGTTATGAGGCCAGTATATCTAATTATCTGGCAGAGAAGGCTATCCATATTGTGAACTCCAAATTCCATTTTTAAGATAATTCCGTTGAAAAATGTGGCTAACCTCGGTAAAATACCGAATATAGGAAGATATCATTATAAGTAGCCATACGAAGATGCGGACCCATTACGAACTCCAAATTTGAACAATGCCGGTGAAATGTGTAATATGGGGATAAGCAGACAAAAATGGGATAGAAAGTTCATGGAAACATCATCAACAAATAATACTCAAAACATAAATGTTTTTCCCTTCAGCAAAAATTTTGAGTAGGTTTTAACTCAATTCCGGTCTTAAGGAGATAGAAGCCCTTCTTGCCAAAACTATCCATCAACAAGTAGGAAGCAAGAAGACTTAGACATTTGACACAGGGTTTACATCAGTCAGGTTCCTAGTTGTAGGGAAATCTTAGAAACACTTCCAACCCCTCATTTTGGTATGGCTATCCAAAAATATGATTTCAGTTTCAAGGTTCGAACCAGCCGAACTTAACATTTCTATTCGTTTACATTAAATGTTTTCCGATATCACTAGATTGATTAATTTTCTTTTAAGTTGGATATAATTCTAAGCTTTTTATTTAAACATCTTGATTTTGCAGGATTTTTTTTTTTTGTTTGTTTTATATTTTATGTGGGTGTATGTATGCATTATGCAAAGGGGGTGTGTAGCAGTATCTTTATATGTATGTATCTATATATATAATATAACATTAAAAATCTATTTCAAAACGGTTTCTCCTTCATTGTTATCTTTGTTTGTTATATTTTTGTGGTCATTAAAGATAGTAATAATAGATTTTGGAACTAATTACATAGCTTAATTCACATATAACTTGATTTAATTGATTTGAAAATGAAAATAAAACAAAAAATTAAATGTCGGTGTCTAAATGACAACTGGGCGGGGAAGATGAAGGCTAACGGTTTTAGTCATGTCTGTCGAGAATTCAAATCAAAAATTTAAATTAAAAAGAGAAGTTGTAAAGGTAGAATATTTTCAATTTTTACAAAAAACAAATATTGAAATTGTATTCTTCCTTGTTAGAAATCATAAAGGGTACTTAAACTATATATTTAAGTTAATGATAATTATAGTAATAACAACAATGTTATTAAGAAGTTTCTGAGGACCCTAATTACTAACGAATGAGGGAAAATAAGTTTAATTATTGTTTAATTTTGTAAAAGTGTTTTTCTTTGTTATACAAATTGCTTCATCATTTTGCATTTTTTTGCTGTCCTAAAATTTAAAAGGTTACTTTACACATTTAATTGTTGGTTTTTTTATTGTATAAATCTAAAATGTCCTACTAATTTGGAATTGTATTAAAATGTGTGTTCCTGGAGAGAAATTCCGCGAAAAAAAACTTATTTTCCCCCGATATAACTATACTTGTGTTAATAATATTGATTTTTGTATTTATTCTATGTACAGATTGTTAGAAATTCATAACTTTTGTTTCCAGTTTAAACAGTTAATTTATCACTTATTACTACTATATTAGTAAGTTTAAATTACGTTTTGTGAATTTAAATCCAATTATTTTTTCCACGAAATTTGCCGCGGAATCCCTGTCCGGGACTGCCGCGCATCATCATCGGGCTACCGGCTCCTCGATTACCTCGCCCACGATTGAAAAACGGCGAACCACCACCCATGCTACCGCCTCGTGGAGGTCTGGGGAAATTACGAAATTGATTTTGTGGCGAACCATCCCAAGCGCCACGTCCACGTCCAATTGTTCCTGGAGCGAAACCACCACGTGCCGGACTGCCACTAGGGACAGCAAATGGATTGTTATCGTTGCCCGCCACACCACCATATGGGAATTGCATACCATACGGCGGTCTAGGTGGTGGTGGCACACCATGTGTTCCACCGGTCAGACCTCCACGGTTATTTTGCCATGACATGGCAGACATTTGTTGAGACCAATCTTGACAATCCCAATTGGTTTGAGGATCATATTCAGCCGGCGTTTCGAGTAGCGGTGGTCTTTGATATGGTAAACCATCCGTTGTTTCACCTGCTTCCGTATCTCCACCATTTGTTTCACCGCTTCCGGCGATATCCTTATTATTTTCAGCCGATTGTTCTGCCATTTGTTCATTTACCTCTGTTGTGCGTAAAATAATGGAAGGTATATTGAAAATATAAGTTTTGTTTTCAATTATTCTTTGTTTCCTAAATTTGTATTTAATTATTTGTAGCAATAAGGGGGTTTGTGGGTTGTTTGCTCACGCCAAGATTTTTTTTAAATTATGTTCGAAATCAACGATAGGAATAAAACTTTTGAGGTTTGAGAATCGTTAAACGTTTTCCATGAGACATATATCTTAAAATATTCTTAAAAAGAAATATAAATGGTCGGTTCCAGAACTGCAAGAATGTGAAAGTTTTTACTTTGACAACCGATTTTCCCTTTATGATATCGATAAATATAGCAAAAATAGCAGATTCTTGCAGGTTCTGGAACAGAGCAAAAGCTGCTTGGTTTTAGAAAGGAAATCCCCTTTCTCAGATATTTAAAAATAAATATTTTGTAAACAAAACAAACACTCAATTCCCCGATGACGTGAAATGGCTTCTTTCGCTTGGAGAGAAATTTGGACTTCCAACAACAAAATCACAATTCCCACTATTTAAACTAATAGCAGACGGCGAAGACGTAATACAAACATGGAATGACAAAGAACAACAAGAAATGATGAGGACAAAGTTCACAACAATGATAGACACACATATGAATAAGATGAAAGAGAGTGAACGAGATAAATTTATCAACAGCACAGTGGGCCGCACCAAAACTTTTTTGAAACAAAATAAAAATATATTAATTTTAAATGCTGACAAAGGAAATGTTACGGTTGCAATGGACATTAATGACTACAAACAGAGGATGAACAGTATTATTTCAGATATGATGACATATCAACGGGTGAACAAAGATCCAACAACAGGTTTGATAAAAAAGAATAATGAACTGGTGGAGGAGCTATACAAAAACAACATTATTACGACAATGGAAAGGAAAAAACTCAGAAGTGACGTGGCTACAGCTCCAAGATTGTATGGACTACCAAAAATCCACAAGGTAGATTTCCCGTTACGCCCGATCTGTTCTTCAATCAATTCTCCGTCGGAAGAACTGTGCAAATATGTGGTTAAAATTTTAAAAAATCTTACCAAATTCTCCAAATATAACGTTCAAGACTCAATGGCGTTCAAAAACAAAGTTAAAAATATGACGATTAAAGAAAATGACAGGATGGTTTCGTTTGACGTAGTATCACTCTTCCCAAGCATACCGATAGATCTTGGTATTCGAATAATCGACGAAAGGTGGGAAGAACTAAAAGAATACACAAATATGACAAAGGGCCTATTTTTAAGTATTCTAAAATTTTGCATTAAAGACAACCGATATTTCAAATACGACGACAAGATATATAAACAAAAGAAAGGACTGCCAATGGGTTCACCAGCTTCTCCAGTTGTGGCGGATATAGTCATGGAGAAACTCTTAGACACCTGCATGGAAAAACTGACAACAAAACCCAAAATATTAACGAAATACGTGGACGATCTTTTTGTGATAACTGGGGAAGATGCAATCAATGATACATTGAATATACTTAACAGTTTCAGCAACAATATCAAATTCACCATGGAGGATGAAATGAATGGATGTTTACCATATCTAGACACAATAATATATAGAAATAAGGACAAATTAGAATTAGACTGGTATCAGAAACCCACGGCATCGGGAAGAATTATAAATTTCTTTTCGAAACATCCCAAGCAAATGATTATAAACACTGCAAAAAATTTAGTACATAGAGTAATGAGCATTAGTGACGAGAAATTCCATAACAAGAACAAACACAAAATCCGAGATATTCTAACAAACAACAATTTTCCAATAAGAATAATAAATAGATTAATAGGACGACGGAATACTACTAGAGAAACCCAAAAAGATGAAAAGATATATAAATCTATGATTTACGTACCAAATTTATCAGAACGATTCCAGAACTCAAATTTATATGACAAGAACAAATATATAATAGCCCAGAAAAACAACAACACTCTCAAAAAGCTATTTAGCCATACAAAAGACAAAATACAAAATCCTGATAAACACAATGTGATATACCAAATACAATGCGATGGCAACCCTAACGAAAAATGTGGGAAATATTATGTTGGTACCACAAAAAATAAATTGAAAACTAGACTATCAGCCCATAAGTCTGATTTAAAAATGAGAAACCAAAATTACACACAAAAAACAGCGCTTGCGGAACACTGTATATCAAGCAACCATCAGCCAAACCTTGAACAAGTAAAAATACTGCAAACGGAAAACCATTACCACAGAAGACTCACATTAGAAATGTTACACATCAACAATCTACACACAACAGAGAGAATAAATTTTAAGAGCGACACAGATAACGCAGCTTATTGCTATAGGCATTTGACACAAAAGAAGAGATCGTGCAATATGTAAACAAAATCAGTGCAATATTAACAGCCGACGATGATAGTGCATTCTATCGTAGTTATTAAGTTAACTTGACGATTATTGTTTACAAGTAAGCGATTTTTGTGTAATAACATTGTGTTTGTTTCTATTTTTAATAAATGCTGTGATAGTAATATTAAGAATATTATATTATCTTGTAGATCCCCTGAAGATGCAATTTATACAATTGCGAAATATCGGAGATCAAAAATGAAATAAAATAAAAAACTGGCCTAAAGCTCAAAAAAACTCATATTATTAAAAAAAAAAACATAATTATAACTTTTAGAATTCTCTCTAAAGGGAATTAATAAGCCACGCCTTTCTAGTCTGTTCTTGAAACAAATATTTTTAAAAACTTCTCAATTAGTTGTCCAAATTGTTCTTTAAAATTAAAAAAATTAAATTGAAAAAAATTACTAAATATTCAATATATAAAATCTTTCACGCCGACTTTGTGAGGATCTATTTCAGTCCCTGATTTAATCCGTTACCAGTCGAGTGCTTCGACATTGTATGTGTTGACGGATGTGGAACGCACTTCGTATACAATCTACACAAACAACCCACATTATAAGATACATAATGTAAAAAATGCTAGAATTTGTGAAACATAAAATTTAAATAACAAACGAAAAGAACGCTTAATTGTAACGAAGGAGATATCAACTGAAAAATAAGTAATAAAATTAAAAAACAAAAGTAGTAAGCAAACCTCTAAATATATCATCAAGATCCTCATCAGACATATCCATATCAACCACCATGTCTGTTGGATCATAACCACTCGTACCTCCACCGTCTCCTTCGGTTTTTTGTTGCTGTTGTAAACCTGCTACATCATTCTGGGATTCTTTTGTGGGGCCTTTAAATAAATATCATATTGTAGATACAAAAAATTATTTTTAAAATCAATTATGCAGTCTGGACTTACTTTCATGCTTTTCGGCAGATATTTTGGAAATCTTCAATATGAAACAAATTAAAAAAACAGAAAAACAGTTATTGGTTAGCAAATTTTAAATGTACTATGTATGACATACATTTCCAGACTCGTCAGCTGATACCGATGATATTGAGGATGTATCATTAAAAGCTGCAGGCAGTATTGTAGTTTCAATTGTTTTAATAGCTTGCCCAAGTATACGGTAATCAACATCGCTAGTTGCCTACAATGAAAAAGTTATTGTATCATTCTGGGTCTCATTAAGACAAGTAAACTTACCTCATTGCTAGATTGATACCAGGATTTCTTATCGTTGTCATTTGCACCCGGTGAACCAGTTAATGATATTAGATTTCGATGATCAATATCCAATTGACGGGTTTTTTCTAAAACGAAAACAGAAGTTGGAAATAAAAATTGTAAAGCAATTCTAGACGGATTAACAAATCAAACATGTATATTAAGGTTTTCTAAAAAAGAAGGAGGAAACAATACACAAGTAGTAGAATTTCACATAAATTATTTCAGCAATTAGCACATTATGTTATGTAAAGGAGAGTACAATGCTATCCGTCTAATCCTACCTAGCTGGATAGGCATTACATTTTCTGCTCCCACATTACTTCATAACATAACAAAGCAATACATGTCTCATAAGATATTAAAATAGCCTCAAAATAACTAACCTTTACTCAATCCCAATTTAGGACCAATACCAAAAGCGGGTAAATGTAGCTGGCGATGATCAACATCTTGAGCTGATGACAAGCTCCCATCATGTTCTGTATATTCTAAGGTAGCTGAACTGGCATTATGGGCATCTACATCGAAATGAGGCGGTGAAAGCGGCGTATCTATCGGCGTATTACCATATGATGATGTCGATGCACTTGAACTGTCCATTGCATTGTTCCACGGCATACCCATATCCCAGCCAGAATTAAAACTAGAACCATTACCATTTTCTGTACTATCAATTGATCCCATTGATGGTGGCATTGGTGGTGGTGGCATAAGCGGTTGTGGTATAACTTGAGAATTTGCACCCGGCACTCCACCTCTACCGACAGGAGGGCCATTATTCGTTAACGGTATTCGACTGTAGGCATTCGGATCATAACTTTCATTGCTGTTATATGTACGTGCATTCATTGGCGCATAACCGGAATTCATGGTCGGATGTAGGCTATTTTGCATCATATTGCTGCCTCCAAACATTGGAGGATTTGGAGGTGGTGGTAAAACATCATTATATTGTTGAGATGATCGTGCCAAAGATGTGTAACCACCAGATGGCACCGGCATGGGATTTAAACCTGGTATCATTACATTATCATTTCCGGGATAAGCACTTATCGATTCAGGTTTATAATATTCGGTAGTAGAATTGAAGCTTTCATCATCAGATCTTGAACCAATAACTTCAATCGGTTGACCTTAAATAAATTAATATTTATACAAGTTATTTAAGTTTTTTACAAACGAATGAGTAACATACTTGAGGTTTTAGATGAGGTTTCATCAGACTTAAAATCGTTTATATCAAAAGGCAAATTTCCATCCAAATAGCTGCTATAGCCATTCATGTTTTTGAAAAAACTCTGAAATATTTGGGAAAACATGTTAGGGAATTTTTTATCTTATAATCTTTTTTAAGGTTACCATTGATATCGGTGATTGATCATCTGGTAGTTGTAAATCTGCATCTGGTTCTGGCGATGGTGCATTTATGTCTGGTGAAGGTATGGGACTCGGTAAAGTTGGTGTTATTTCATCTAGTTTCTTTTTAACCAATTTAATGCGACTGCCAAAATTCTTATAGGCCTGAAAAGAGCGTCCATTAAATTCCCATTCTATAGATATTGAAATATTGAATACTTACACTAACAACAACTTTCACTTCTCCCCTTTGATTGGCATAAAACTTAACAGCCGTGTCCAAATTGGCCAAAACATTTTTGCGACTTTTTATTTCAGCTTGTAGATTTTTATTAAATGCCTCTATATAGGCAGCATAACGTTCTAACTCCTTTTCGACGTCATCTGAATGACTTTTATCTTTTAAATGTTGTTTGATATTCTCTATATCACAATTGGGTGCTTTTGGCATTTTCTTAAAGCTTTTATCGGTTAACTCTGACAGTTCCACACATTCTCGAATGCTTGTGATGAGACTGGCATTTTGAAAGTCCTCCGAATCAGCAATGGTTGAGTGGGTTTTCTTTGGCGGTGCTATATTCAATAGACCACATAGGTCTGTGAGAAATTCCTCATTGTAGATTTCACGTTGTTCCCAAATACTAAAGATTCGAAGGATTTTATTTTTGACTTTTTCATCTCTGCAAAGAAAAAACGTTTCAATAATAAAAGGTAATAAAACGAAACACATGTTCTTACCTAACCATTGTCGTTGCCTTTTGTAGAGCCGTGGCCCAACTTTCAACAAATTCCAAGCGTTTTCGTTTACTGTACTGAATGACATCGTTGGCTAGATAGAATAAAACTAAACGATGTTCGACGCGAACTGTAAGACAAGATAAGATGTCAAAAGCATTTCGAATTGAAGATTTTAATGCAAAGGTCAAATAAAACGAGCCTTATGTTGAGAAATTTTCGCAGTTTACCTATTTGGTATAAAAAATATTAAATTATTAGATACTCTGTTTATTAATTTCGCAGACAATGATGTTGCTATTCACTTCGTTGATACACAATTCACAAAAATCAATATCAATAAGGAGGTCCGCCATTTCAAATTTCCTGTTAACATCATGCCCATATTTCTAATAAAGGCAACGAGAAACTAATGGTAGAAGCAAGAGTATAAAAAGGGAAAAAACCACCGTGTTTCAAAATAGGAGAATGTGGAAGATTTAGATCATTTCCTTATAAAAAACTGGCGTTTTAAAGAGATGTTCCTTTTTTAACCAAAAGGTCAGAAGAACAAAACCTCAAAGTTTCGCTGCAGTAACTGGCACAGTTGGAGACATCCCAACCATTATATGGTGGGTGAAATTCTCCAAGTCAAACGTTTAGGGAAGGACCTGCAAAATCTAGAGCGGGAGGTACCAAGATATAAGTGAGACTCTCTTCAGCAACAAAGAAAGCTAAAAACATCGGCTGCTTAGACAAATCAAAGTAGTTTTGGCTTAATTACTTTTAGCATTTAGTGGTTGTCTTAAGATAGTCTGAAAGGATACGAAGTGCATTGTACGAAGAAGAAGTACGTACCGATTAACCTCTCCAGTTATCTAATAAAAATCCGATACTTTGGAATTAGATCCACAAAAACGTCCTTGAAAGATATCGTTACACAGAAAGAAATTGCGGAATGGATTGAAAGAATGCTGAAGAACAGAGTTATCAACTCTAGCAATGGAGAAGGCTTCGCAAGGAAGTTCACGTGTTTGATAAAGCTCAAAGTGTTTGATAAAATTAGATAACGTAGGATGACGTTGTCAGAAATTACTGTCACTCTGGTCTCATTGCAAGAAGGTTACAAATTTGCCACCAATCTGGTATATTGTGGAATTGCAACTCTCTAGGGAAGACATTGGGGTGGTAGTACGTATCCAGCAATTACGATAGGAAATAAACACTGTACAAGTAGTGATATGATTACACTATTCTATGTAAAGTGAGGTTCAGACCTGGTTCTATAGCTCTGTGGTACCTCGCTTAATAACAGATGGATGTCTGGATCGGCGATAGGTAACAGAAACATAGGAGCATCGGGTGCTTATAAATCAAAACTAACCAACGATATTTAAGGAAATCTTTTGAAATATAAATGAATTTGGGTATAATCTGGATATCCAAGTTGAACTAACAATAATTTGAACATGCATCGAAAGCGTCGATTTGATACTTTTGAAGGCAGTCATTTGTAAGTATTTTCTTAGCAGAATCACTGTTAGCACTTTAAACCTACAATCGCCTAAAAATATGCTCAAACATTTCTGTGAATAAAGTGAGCTTTTGTTCTTAATGTTTGTGTTCGAAAATTCGCAAAAACAGTTTCTCGTGGGGTTCCATTCCATGGAAAACTGTAGGTGTTATCTGTTGGAGACCACTAGCTCATTAAAGGACGGATCTATTATATTGTGCACATCAAAAATATCACTTCAACTATGTTCCACTGTATGCCGATAGGTCATGGAGGCGTTCATATTTTACCGGTAAACTCAAAATTATATCGCGATCTCCCCACTTCAGTAAGGCGTTCTTTTTTTGTAAATAAAAACAAACACTTTTTATGGCTGTTTCTGCCAATCTTCGCCTCCGCTTTACAAACACACATACACAACGACACATATATAGCCACAACATACCTCTTTTGAAAACATTTAGCCAACAGGCAACGATTTTCTTGTGATGTGCACGCTGTTTTAAACACCACGCTGACATTTGCTGTATACCATCCTGTGTATCTTTGAGGCCTTCCAAACGCGTTTCGAACAGTTCCACATCGAATTCCTCCGATGTGCTGTTAGAAGCCATAGCTTTTCGCTAAAAACAAAAACCTTAGCGAATTTGATTTCTGCTAAAAAAAAACTTCACACAATCTTCTTTGCCTTTTTATGTTTGTTGTTAGAGGCGATGGACGACTATAGAACGTTTCTTGGCCGACAAACATTCAATTTACGGCACAATTTCGTTTCACTTTCGGTAACTCGATACGTTAAACGATTGTCGCAAACTCATAATATGTTTTTGGGGAAAATTTTTTTATAAAAATGCATTTTATTATGCAAATTTTAGTAAAAATAAGCGCGGAAGCTAGTATTTTAAGTTTTCTTCACTTCTTATCTTCTTCTTCTTTTTCAGACTAGAGATATATAGTTTGTGTGTGAAGCAATTGAGTTAAACGATTCACCGGAGAGAGCACCTGAACCAGTTCAATTAGAGTTACACCTTTCTGCATATAAAGCAACGTTTATACTATAGCCCTTTTTATGTTATAACTAATGGAACACCCAAAAATTTAGAAAATTGTTAAATTGTTGTTGTTTATTATGCACGCGTTACCCAAAACAAATTTGAAAGGTCGAATTCATGGCCTGTATAATATCGGACAGGAAGATTTCTTTTGACAGCAATGTAACATTATAAAAATAAGTTTTTACTCCATTGTGATTTGACTTTCGTTGAGTTTTAAATCACAATAAGTACAGTGACAACAAACTTATTTGCCAGATAGGGTTGCTGGCCGTCCGCATAAAGGAATTTTTTGTATCTGTTTTGGGTTTTACTGCTAGAATTTTCAGAGACAGGAATAAATTAAAGAACAAAGAGAAGATTGACGCAAAGAAAGAATACATGCTCTGCATTTTCACATCTCTGCATTTTTTGTAATATACCTTGCCAAATTTCAATGCATAAAAAACTGTTCCCATCTCTGATTTTGTGTGTATACAATGGAGTTATGAATATGACTTTACCTTCTTGGTTCTACCAGGGAAAGAATATAAAGCTTAAAAAATAACTTGAATAAAAAATATTTCATTCATTTTATTACGACAGCAAAAATAAGTCGTATCCCTTGAAAAACTGTAGATTTTAAGTTGAATCAACAAAAACGAGAGTGGACTTTTCATTTTTGCTAATAAAACTTGAAAATCTTAAGGGGACGTTTATGTACAACATCTGTACTGGGGTTTACGTTGATAAGTATATACACAATAGAAAACAAACAATTAAAATACAGTAGAACTTCGATAATTCGTAAAAATTTGCTGGTCCTTGAATTACGAATTATCGAAGTTCTACTGTATTGTGATTGATAAATTTTCAATTATTAGGTAAATGTATTATAATGATCTGTTCCAGAATGTGCGAGAATGTAAAAATGTCACTACGATAATCGACAAGGGTTTTACATATGTGGGATCACTTTTATTATCCATGTGTATTTCGTGTGTATGTCAAAATTGCCATTTCACATACATTATGGGGCTAACAGTACGTTTACATATTGACGGATTAAACCACTGGATTTGGATTAAAATTGTCATATCTTTTATCAAAACTTCAAATAAATCCTCTGAAAATAGGTTAACCCTACAAAAAGTTCTAACATAAACATGGCATAATATGTTAGTTTCTTGTTTAGATTATATTCGGCCTTCGTTTATTGTCAAATTTATATTTTGAGATACTTCCTTAGATTGAGCGTACAATTTACATTTATTTCGAATACAATGTTTTGTAATTTTCAAGCGAGAGATTACCTTTTAAGTTGTTCCTTGGTTTTATCCCAATATGAAAATATGTGCTTCGATATCATAAAGAAAAAATCGGTTGTCGTCGCAATAATTTTTACATTTTTGCAGTTCTGGAGCAGAACAATTAATTTATTTTACAACTGAATTTGAAATTATTAAAAATTGTATTTTCTATGGCATAATTACAGAAGTTAGAAGAAAGCTAACTCATAAATGCATTTTTTTGGTGCCCCTATCCTGTCAAAACATATGCAGAGTTTGTATATGTATCTGTATGGATTGGCAAAAATTAAAACTATTTCAAATTTAGGTGCAACAGAAATGTATATTTTCGACCTTAAACAGTCCAATTTTCATATAAAACTGCATTGTTCTTCTATCGTAGATTTAATTTTGTGGAATAACCCCAACATATCTTTAATGTTTCGTAATTTTTCCGCAATATAAGAATTTTGTAAGATATAAAATTTTGAAAGAAAGAAAAAATATAAAATAAACAAAATCAATTGTTGTATATTTTAAAGTCGTTGCATATTGTTGTCAATTGTTGCATAAAGACTTCGGTACAGAGTTGTATTTTATATTACATTTTACATCTCTTGAGAAAATACTTTTAGTATTGAAAATGGAACTCCCGATATTCGGTATTTTGATGATTTTAGCTACATTGTTACCAATTTTTTTTAAGTTTCGCATTTGAATATTGTAATGGTCTATGACAAATGTCACCTTTGCAGGTCCATGTCGTCGTATAGACCCTAATATAACAGCTACATTCGGCATTTTTAAGATTTTATAATTATTTTTAACGGATTTTATTGTTTTTGAGAATTGCCAAATTCGTTCCAAATGCTGGGGGGTATTCAAAGTTCGGCTCGGCCGAACTCACAGCTTTTTTACATGTAACTATTGTGATATAGTTTAAGCGCCATTGATATGGCACTATGTGTTACAGCGAACGCCATCTTCATTTCAAATTAAATGTTATTCTTTGTTGCATTTAAAAAAATGTTGCATACTGATAGGCGTTAAGATAAATTATGAATAAATTTTCATCTAAAAATTCATTTTTTATGGTTTTGATGGAAATGGTCAAATGGCAATGCCTTTTCGGAATCATATATGTACATTGATATTATTCTCTCATCAGAAACAGTGGAGAATCACTGCGTGATTGCTGCAGTAGAACATTTAACCACCGGCAAACAACCCTCTTTAACAATTCCCAGATGCGACTTAACCACTAAAGCAAAAAACAAACCAAACAAAAATATACAAATGTACATTGTACACGACGACACGATTTTGCTCCCCTTTTTATGAAATTTAGCACATGGGTGGTGGTTGTGTTATTGGTTGGTGGGCATAAGGCCATGAGCAAAAGAACCCGACCAGAAGGCAAAACAACAAGATATTTTGCTCACCGCACATCATAATGCTTGTTGTTATGTGTTGAGTACAAGCGAAGAGAGCCAGCCGTTTGTAAACGAAAAAATCTGGCACGAGAACATAGATGAATGTGAAGGTACATTGTTTTCGGGATGCTGCCTACCTAACATCTGGTCGTCGCTGGTCTGCAACTTTCGAACAGCTGAACTTGACTATCCACGGCAGTCTCTTACGAACGCGAGTGCCGTTAAAATCAAAACGCTAACAGGAGGGTGCGTTTGTTGCCTCCGAATCCGAGTACATATTTCTTAATTGTGTTCACCATCCTCATCATCATCATCGTATCGTCGTCATATACTTATATATGCGAATGATTTTTCATTTTCGTGTATTTTGAAAAAAAAGAAAAAACAAAAAAATATAATACTTAAATCATATCTACAACAAACAACACAATATTCTAAAATTAGAACAACGAATGAAACCAAATTTCTAATATATGACAAAATAAAATAATAAAAAAACGGAATTTTAAGGGAATGGAAAATATTGTTTTTCATAGTTTATAACCTAGAAGAAGCATAGTCACCACTTCAAGGATTCGTAGTGTGCTTGAATTGATTACGCTACCTTGAGATTTGGAATAATCAGAATAAAGTGTTCATAGCGAGCTTCTCGAAACCGCAAAATCCTTTTTTCCAGCCCAAAATAAGAAAAAAAAAAAAATCAAAATTGATCTAAAACTCAAAATGCCCGCTTCAAATACAATTGTTTTGAAAAGTTTATCCATACTACTGGGTTTGTTTTTCGTTTTTGTGGGCACCCTTAAGTTAACGCCTCACATTAGCAAGGATTTATACAAGGATTTGGTAAGCATAAATACAATACATATACACTGTGAAAAATCAATATCTCATAAAGTTTTGCATATAACTAACCCATAAAGAGAGTGTGAATGTTTATCTACGTGAAATTTTGCACACTCATATACATATATCATAAGTATATACATATAAGAGCAAAACATTCATATCTATTTGTATGAAGGTGTGTATTTTGGCAAAGTTTTTCTTTTCTTCCAAATGACGTGTTATTTATGAATCCCTCATATTTGTTTTCGTGTTTGTTTCTTCTGCTCAACATAACTCTCACGTGAACTCTTTTATGGTTTTCCTGTCACAATTGCTTTTGGTGTCATTTAAACGAAATCGATTTGCTTTCGATTACATTGTTTATAAATTTTTTTTCTATTTCGAAAAATTATTGCAGGTTTTATTATTTATTTTTAATATTTTTTTTCTTTTTTAAGCATTGACCTCCGCATGACGAGGCAATGACATTCATGTGTGTGGAGAAAAATATCGTAAATGAAAAATTAAATAAAAAATATGGGAGAAAAGCATTTAATTTGGTCACGCCATAATGATTACAGGGTGAGATATGAAAACTGCAACATAGTCAAACTTCAACATGAATGAAAGCAAAAAAATTCGGAAATAGCATCAAATTTTAGAATAAGTTTAGATTTGTTCGAATTGGTCACCTTTGGCACGTATTATGGCCTTCAAACGGCCAATGAAACCGTCACACGCTGCCAGAATGTTGCTCTCTTTTAGTGCCAACCTTGCCTTTCAAAATACTCCAGACACAATAGTCCAACGGATTGTATCCGGAGATTTTGGTGCCATTGTGCGCTAGAAATGAAGCGAGGAACCACATTTGGTAAACATTCTTGGGTGGCGCGCGCTGAGTGCGATGGTGTTGAGTCCTGTTGGAATGTCCAAGGTCTGCGGCCAAAATGTTTGCGTCCCCAAGGCTTTAATACACACTCCAGAATATTTTCGCGATATGATTCGGCATTTATTCTGATGCCATGGTCGATTAATACGAGCAGAGATCTACCATCGGCTGTTATGGCGGCCCACACAATCACCATAGCCGGCGCTTGAGTTCTGGTGGCCAACCGAAGGTGCACATTTTCAGCTGACCTCTTTGGCAAGTAAACACGATCATTTTGTTTGAGTAAAAAAGCAGTAAGTTCGATCGGACCGAACTCTGAATAACCTCCACCATTAGGAACATATTTGAAAATTTTCAAAAAAATAAAATCCGTTAAAAATGCTGTTAAAATCTTAAAAATATAATATAGAATATAGCGTAATATTGGGGTCTATACGAAGACATTGACTTACGTAGGCAACTTTTGTCATAACAATACTCAAATACGAAACTTGAAAAAAATCCAGTGAATAATGGAACTAAAAACATGAAAATACTGAATATAGGGAGGTAGACCCGTTATATCGGGGCTATACGAAGACCTGCACTAATTAGGAACTTCAAATACAAAATTTGAAATAACTTCAAATACCATATTTAAACATTTCGGGTGAATAATGTCGCTTAAATCGCCAAAATACCGAAAATAGGGAGGTACCCCTATATGGGGGCTATACAAAGACGTGGACTTACATGGCAAATTTTCAATACCAAATGTCCAGCAGACATAATATACATTTCAGTAAAATTTTATCAACCTACTTTATTTCGTTCGAAAGCTAGAGTGATTTCCACAGACGATTAGATAGACAGACGATTATACAAACAGACGGGCGGACATCAGTAAATCGACATATAATTTTATGCTGATCAAGAATATATAAACTTTGTGGGGTCTGAAATGTATATTTCGAGGTGTTACAAAAGGAATGACAAACTTAATATACCCTCCATACTGGTAGAAGGTATAAAAAGTAATTAAATAATGACTGACTGATAATAAACTCCCAAACGAAAAAGCTGAAGTTAAAATCTGGAATCTTAAGTTTGGGTTTTTGAAAATTCGTACTCAAATAATACTTTGTATTGGACAAACGGAATAAGCTAGTATTCTGAAATTTGGAATGAGAGTCACTGAGATGTATGAAAGACTATTTGGTTACTAGTTCTAAAACGGTACCATATCTGTTTAAGGATAGAGCTAAAAACCTGTAAAAAGGAGGTGGTGTTGGAAATTTGTACTATAAGTGCACGAAAAGTACTAAATAGTACTATATTTGATACAATATGGGATTGGGGGAACATATAGTGCTTAAAATCTGAAATTTGGTATAAGGGTCGCTGTCCATGTGTAGCCTGGACACATAAAGGGGTTTTGGAAATGTGTACTATAATTGTACGAAAAGTACTAAATGATACTAAATTTGGAATGTTATTGGATGGAGGGAAAAGTACTAAATGATACTAAATTTGGAATGTTATTGGATGGAGGGATAGGGCTGGGCTCCTCAAATTTAGTACTGAGATCTCTGTTTAAATTTAGCATATTGTGTAGGGGTAGAACTGGAACTATGAATTTTGGTAATAGGATCGGTGTCTGGTCATAATCCCCATAATAAAGTGTGGATCACGTCCGTTTTGGAAGCAATGGACCATTTACTTGTGGGGATTGTATCCCCGGAAAGAATATAAGGTTTAAGTTGAGTTTAGGGGTTATGCTCAGATTGACCTGATATTTTTTTTATCACAAGTAGGTATTTTTATAACGGCAAAGTTGTTTTCGTGAGGGATATACCCGGTTACTCGGTTATTCGACCGGAAAGTTCGAATCGATTCTTCACAATTGATATGTAATGGGTATCCTTTGAAAGCTTATGGAAATACCGACGCCATAATAAGTTTTATCTTCGCAAGCGTTTTGGGTGAAGACATGGAGATAAAATTCTGAAAATTGATGTTTAGATATGTGGTATCTGAGGTTGAGATTTAGAGGTGGGTTTGGAAATGTGTAATATATTTGTACGAAAATATTGAATGGTACTATGTTTGGTATTAGGTGAAAGGATAAAGCGGAAACCCTGGTATTTTATATTGCGATAACTGTTGGAGTCTAGGATTGAGAGATGAAACGGTTTTGGAAATGTTTTCTATATTTTTTACTAAGTGGTACTGAATTGGGTATTGGTCTCTATTGGTGTGTGGTGGTGGTTTTGCAAATGCGTACTATTATTGGAGATATGTAGATTGGTTGGTCGATTTATGCATGTCAGTCCGTCTGTCCATGCATTTTTGATAACAAAATGCAGGTCGCATTTATTATCCGATTGAGATGAAATTTTCCAAGCAATATTTGTTTGACTCAAAGACGAACCCTTTTGAATTTGGTGAGAATCGCTTTAAATTTAGATATAAAGCCCATATATATCTTCAACCGAAATCAGTCTAATTTTAGTTATTTATTACTTACCAAAAAATATTGTATCTGTGTACGTAGTCGTCTGACAGTAAAAAAAATAAATGGGTATATTGTCTTAAAAACAACTCTGATTGAAGACAAATTGTCCTGCAGAAAAAACGTAAACACATAAGGTAGGGAAAAGTACTCAGTAATGTTTACTGAGAATTTTTTCACAACATATAGTAAAATCTTGCTAGAAACCAGCTGTTTTGAACAATGAATGCGTTATATTTTTAAATTGTTGAGAAAATGGAATCAAAATGGTAATTTTTGTCGTGAAAAAATAAATTGTTATTAACTGAAAAATAATATGTAATTTATTGCCTGAAAATTATAAATATTTTTGCATCAGTCACAATGCAGCTTTTTTTCAATCAACTTGTGTTACTGGATACATTTTACTGAGAACATTTTTTCAGAAAAATTGTGGAAAATCACTGTAAAAAATGAATTGTTTAATTGTCAATTTTGAAACTTCATTTGTTCAACTTTGAAATTTTGTACGGCCAACGTCCCAACATACCAAAAATAAATAAAACTATAATACAGCTTGAGAACAATATTATTATTAATAGTTGGCCATACAATTTTTAACAATGCTTGAGAAACACTTACGATAAACAAATACTTTTCAAATCTCTCGTCATTTGACATTTGTTTTGTATTTTTATGAAAATTTTTACCAACCTTTTTTTCGTTTTTCATAAATGGCAATGTGAGGCAAATAAGGAATTATTATCCACCAAATCCTTATGGTAAGAATAAGTGAATTAGGAGTCTGTGATTTATATAACTTCAATTTTCTTATAGAAATGCAGGAATTCAATTGGTATTTTTAAGCATAAGAATGAAGTGAAATATTTGACAAGGATATGCAGAAGTTCAAAAACTCAAATAGAAAAGGATCAAGCCAACGATAGCAAAATGAATTGCAACAGGGAAGACCATGGAAATAAATAATCAAATAAAATGTATAAGAATTACAAAAATGGGCTTGTTGAATTATTATAAGAATAAGCTTAAAATAATATTATTTTCTTAAACTTATTCTACAATTAAAATAATAAGCTTATAAATAAGAGTTCCGTTTTGGTTATTCTCTATTTGTTAAACAAGCATTTCTCAATAAATTCTCAATCTTAAGGTTTATGTTTTTATTAAGCTTATAACAATATTATTCTCAAGTCATTTTGGTATGTTGGGGTATTTGAGTAACTTTCATATTTCATACATTTGTTTTACTTGTGTGGTGAAATTAAAAATATAAATGGATTTACAAATATAAATTTTGACAATGGGATGTTGTCAAATAAATAATTTTGTAAAAAATTTAAACATATGTGGTTGTTCCAGAACTGCAAGAATGTAAATATTTTTACTACCATAACCGAATTTTTCACTTTATGATTTTCGAAAAAATTGCAAAACTTGTATGCTCTTGCAGGTTCTGGAACAGGGCAATGCCTGCAAGACTTTACCTTCTTCATTCTACCATAATCAACTCATTAACACGGAAAAAGCCATCCTATAGTGAAATTTGAATAAGAATATTTTTTTTATACAATCAGCCATTTTAATACAGTCAGACATATGAAGGGCCTAATCGAAACAATGATTTTAGACCCTAGGTCT